AGAGAGAGAGAGAGAGAGAGAGAGAGAGAGAGAGAGAGAGAGAGAGAGAGAGAGAGAGAGAGAGAGAGAGCTGTATTCAGTTACATACATGGTTCGAGTCTGCGACTGTGTGAGCGGCAGAGACCGCAGGAGACACAAACACTTTCTTTGTATAAGACATATATTTTGCGTATCAATCTTTCTTGTGTCTCGGCTATCGGTTCCAAGTGTGAACACTCATCTGGATGCTTGTTGGATGTGTGTGCGAGGTTGAGGGTGATTAACTTGCGAATCTTTGCAGTTGAAAACCACGTTTTTTAGGGGGTGAGGCTCACGGCGACAGAAAAAGAAGAGGGGGGGGAGGGGGGCGTGGTTGTGTACAATGATGTAATCATGTATTCTGACTTTCCGGGGGAATAGGAACTGGACTGACGCTCCCCAGAATGGATATGGAGCCAGGACGTAAGGACCTGTTGAACAAAAAAGAAAAAAAGAATACAGTGGGGATGGGCAAGGGGCTGATCAGTTCAAAGAACAACAAAAGTGGCTAGGCTGCACTCCAGGCCGCCCGGCGCCCGGCTCGTCGCCCGGGCGGGGGCCCGGGCCGCCTGGCCGGTCGCCCCGCCCAGTTGGCCACCGGGCGACCCCAGCGCATCACAGAGGTTTTTTTTTTTTTTTTTTTTTCCCTTCGCGGGGGGTCTTCTCCCCCCCCAAGGAAGCCGTAGATGTAAGGAAAAAGAAACAGAAGGGCCAGTCCCCGCTCGTCTGGGCCGTCGATCCTCAAGATCGACGGCCCAGATGGGCGGAATTTGAAATCGTTCAAATGCGGCCTACCGGCCCTTTTTTTTTTCGTGTGCTGGATCTTGTTTCCCGCCAACGAAGTCGCCGCCAGTGTTCGTTGTCGCCGTGAGTGTGCGAAGCCCCCGTTCGTCGTCGAAGCCCCCACCCGCCTACACCGCCCGACGCCGCCCGAAGCCCCCGTTCGTCGTCGAAGCCCCCGTTCGTCATCGAAGCCCCACCCGCCTACGCCGCCCGACGCCGCCCGACGCGCGACACAGTGAGTGCGTTAGTTAGAGAGAGAGAGAGAGAGAGAGAGAGAG